GACATGAGATGATGATGATCAAGCTCAACTTGAAAAAGAAGAAAGAGAAAAATAAAAACCAAGAAGATCAAGACAAAGGTATAATATAGGTTTTTGTTTTGCATTCAAGACATCATAGAGGGTGTGAGTGACTTAGGATCGATAGCCGTACTATAAAGAGGAGAAATCTTCGGCTAAACGGTTTATCGAGTGCCACTAGGTGACATGACTTTTACATATGCATTTAGGAACTTAGTGTGCTAACTTTGACCCTTGTAAAATGCTTTGAAAAATGCTAACACATGTGTACACAAGTTCTACACTTTGTGGTTAGCAAGTTGAAAGCAAGGATGAAGTGGTTGTGGCCTGAGAAAAAGAAAAGGAGGAAGAAGTCCACGACCGGACGTTGGCCGCGGGGTGACCGGACTCACCCTGGACGTGTCCAGCCATTTATAGCCGCGCAGTGCAGCTGGCCGATGGGGCTGAGGAGCGACCGGACGCTGCCTCTGGCGCGTCCGATCACCTGTTGGATACCGGCATTTGGAGGCGATCGGACGTGACGCTGCTGCGTCAGGTGGCGAGTGGCGTACGGTGACGTCATCATCGAGAGAGCGCACGTAGGAATAGTGATAGGACCGGATGCTGGGGCCCGTCAGGTCAGCGCTGACCTGACGCGTCCGGTCACGTTTTTAGCGCTCTGGATCGTCTCTGGAAATGACCTGACGCTGGAACGCCCTGAGTCCGGTTATCACAAAGGTGAGTCCGGTCATCACTTAGTGCACGAGCGATCAAAGTTTTGACCGTTGAAGATCAACGAACGACATTCAAAAGTAGGACACATGTCGGCGATCTAGCTACCGGACGCTGAGGAAGCTGCGTCCGGTCACACCCACCTGCACGTTCGGTCAGGCCGTGAAAGCAGGGAGCAGGGGGCCAATGGCTCTTTCGTGGTTGGCTCCCTATTTGAAGGTCTTGGCTGGCTCTTGGCTCACTCTCTTGGTACTTTGACATTCCTAACATCCTTGTGAGCCTAAGCAAACATTTTCACTCATCTCCATCATTGATTCATCATCATAGTGAGATTGGGAGTGATTCCAAGTGCATTTGCTTGAGTGATTACATCTAGTGACACTTGGGGATCGTTGTGGCTGCGGAGTTCTTGTTACTCTTGGTGGCTGTCGCCACCTAGATGGTTTGGAGCAGCGGAGGAGCTTCAGCACGAGTTGTTGATTGTTCGTGGTCGGCTCCGGTGATTGTGATGGGGTCTTGAGCCTTCCCCGGTGGAGAGCCGAAAGGTAACTCTAGTGGATTGCTCGTGTCATTGAGTTACCTCACTTGTGGATAGGTTCTTGCGGTATCCAATTGTGTGGACGGGGTTTGTGTAACACCTCTTTGCCGCTGAACCACCAAGTGTTGATCGACACAAGGGACTAGCGTGTCGGCAAGCACGTGAACGTCAGGAGAAAAATTGGTTGTCTCTTGCCCTTTGATATTCTTTCGGTGATTGAATTGGTATTCATCTTGTGATTGATTCACTCCTCTACGCAGCGGTATAATCACCCTACTTACTCATTTACATTCCCGCAAACTAGTTGTAGCAAGCTCTTTAGTGTAGCTAGAATTGAGAGCTTGCTTTGTAGCTTAAGTTCATCTAGTGGAGCTCTTTAGTGTAGCAAGTTTGAGAGCTCTTAGTGAGTAGCAACTTAGCTCTTGTGTGTGCCTAGTGATTATAGCAACTAGAATTGTTTGGATAGGTGGCTTGCAACCCTAGCAGAGCTAGAGCAAAATTACATTACACCGTTTGTCATACTAATCAAATTGCTCTAGTGCTCTTGTAGATTTTTAAATAGGCTATTCACCCCCCTCTAGCCATATTAGGACCTTTTAGCCGTTCCTCACCAGGAGGTCGTGGCCGCTGTCAACGTCGACGCCGCCGTGACGCTCGACCTCAGCTCATGACATCACGAGATCCGGAGTGGCCAGACCCGGAACGGGCTTCTCTGGCTACACCTCGAGCTCCCTTCCTTGGACTTTGCAAGTGTATGTTTCAAGTGTTTCAGGTGTTTCATGTGGATGTTGCAAAAGAAGATTGAGATGTTGCATATGTTGCAATGGCTGCACACGTATGTTGCAAGCGTCCGTTCCAAATGTTTCAGCTGTTTTAGATAAATGGTGCACTTTGTTTTATCTGGGTGTTGCATATGTTTCACACTTTATGTTGCAAGTGTTTCATATTGCATATGTTTTCACGCATATGTTGCAAGTGTTTCATCAAGATGTTGCATATGTTTTGCAATGGCTACACACATGTTTTCCTCGTGTTTCAGACGTATATTGCAAGTGTTTCAACTATTTCAGATATATGTTCGAAATGTTTCCTCTAGATGTTGCAAAAGTAGATCTGATATTGCACATGTTGCAGTGGACCCTATCTGCTGTAGCTGCTTGTTGCAGCTGCTGGGCCCGCCTGCATGCACGTGGGTGTGGAGGGGCGCGAGCGACAGGTGTGGGAAACTATGCGTGTGCAGATCGAGACAGAGCGGGCGTGGGACACAGAGCGGCGTGGGACCCCACATGAAGCAGGCGTGCGGCGTGGGCGTCCGGACGCTAGCCCCCATCCAGACGTTCGAGCGCTAGCCTTTTCGTATTTGTAGATCAGATAATTTTAACCAAGTGGAGTTGAGGGAAAATAAACATTTTTATTTGATTGTAGCGGTTTTGAAAGCTGTTTTGACTAGAGTAAGTTGAACTTGGTATTTGCCATGCTAGTCCTGCTCCATGATGAATGTTTAATTTTTGTTAAGTTTTTTTTAGATAATAGTATAATACTATGCAAACACCAAGTTCAAGCCTTTGCTTCTACGGATGAACGCAACCTATCTTTAACTATCAGACGGTCTTTAGATCTTTGTTTCGTTCTTCATTTCTTTGAATCATGTAACCCAGGTTTCTACTCTGTAAAAATTTATTCGTTGATGTGCAGGACAGAAGGGAGTGGCGACGGCATGACGGATCCCAGAAATTGGTGGCATTGATATGCTCGTTTGGGGTGACAACGGGCCCAACTAAACACTGCCTTCTGGAATTCTTCACGTTGATCTTCCCGTTGTAGGCTGTAGAATTCTCCAGGATTGCAAGTTTGCAACTAGTAGGCAATGGTTGATTCTGGCCTCAGTGCACGCACGCGTATAACAGCCAATTGGCAGACAAGCTCAAAAAGAAAAGCCAATTGGCAGACAGCAGCCAACATAGACAAATACAAACAGCCCTGTTTCTCCTCTGTTGCTTCGGCCTCCATAATTCCGTATCACTGTGCACGACACTTGGCAGCCCAGGCTGGAAGCCTACGCAAATAGCTTTGTTTTTTTAACTGTCAGGGGGAGATAATCCTCACCTGAATATATATTAATATAAAATCAACAGCCTCATTTTTTTTAGAAAAAGCAAGGCAAAACCTTTTCGTCCGGTTAATTTTAGAAAACCGGACTAAAACCATACAACAACCCCAACGCAAGGGCAAGCTCGTGGCATATCCACTAATAAGAAAAAAAAAACAATAACAAATAGCTTTGTTACTTTGTGGAAGACTACCCAAACACCCTGGGATCTCAATCCAACAGTGCGAAAAAATCATAAAAAAAGTGCAAAAATTATAGACCCAAGCAGTTCGAGCAAACACTTTGACCTCCAGATTATCTCATTCCTTCAACAAAACACCGAAATTGCATGATCCCACTCCATTCCATACAAGATAGTTCCATCACATTCCACATTTCCATCTAGTTCGTACACCCACCCTAGCAGCTCTGTCCTTGGGTAGCCTATTACCACGGCGTACAAGTTTCTCCACCATGAAAAATTATTGAAATAAGGCCAAAACCGGATTTGGATATTTCTTGAGTTATTCTCTCAGGTGTCTATGAACTTTTCTAGAATTTCAAACATCATAAAATATATTTGAAAGTGTACTAGCTACATCAACTGGCACAGGCAGAAAATAAATGCAAATTTTTCACTTGGATACTAGTACACACGGCGGATAACTTGCAAAAAAGAGGGTGGCCGCATCAGGATCATTGCGCGTTATGCAACGGGCCGTTGGAGACCTGCCTTCATCTATCTCTACTTTGCCAGTTCGTCAAAGCGGTTTAGAATCAAATCCTAACCTGGGAACACTTTGATGTTCAGTTTACATAGCTCACTAGAGACCCCGTCCATTTTAGCACCTGGTGGGAGAAGACCGCTACTAAGGTCACAAAGGATGAAAGAAGGCGCTTTAACGGTTTGGTGATCTACACATGCTGAAATCTTTGAAAGAAAAGAAACCGAAGAATTTTCAATAACGCTCAAGAATAGTCGTTGCAGGTGGCTTCAAGAATTAAAGAAGACATTGAGCAAAGGAAGAGGATATTTCAAGGAGCATTCCAAGGAGGGGGCTAGTAAGCTAGCCATTCTGGTTGTATACGTGCTTGGGGGCATTTTTGACCGCTGTTTGTTTGCGCAGCTTCTTGGGTTCTGACTGTACATAAACCTTCTATATTTCTCCCTTAGTTGAGAGGCAGCGCTCTTGCCGTTTGTTTTAAAAAAAAAACATATCTACCAATTGCCACAGTGCTACAAGTATCCGCCAGTGAAACCAGTTGAACATTTCCTCTATCCTGACTGATAACTCTAGATCAAGAATACAAAATGAGCATAAACTGCACAATCAAATGTTTAGATGACATCAGAGGTCAAAGGTTGTGCATGTTTCCACTAAGAGTAAGGATTGTACACCTTCCTAGTCCCATTCAGTGTCCTTCAGAACTGAAGTTTTTGCAGGGAAACACGGTCCATGATGTTCAGCTGTGCAATTTTACTAGGATCACGCTGTCAATTGGCGGTATTCATCATTGGCACCATCTCCCACTTGATACCTTGATCTCACATTCTGCGATATTTAATTGTTATTTAGTTGCTGGCCTTGAGGAGCTTTTGACACAATTTGATCTGAGAAAAGTAGAAATAATTGTGAAGAAACCTCAAGAAGGGTGACATAGTAGAAGTCTTCCATGTGCTGCATAAGAGCCGAACCATCCCTGATTGAGCGGAGTAGATTTATTTCTGTTTGCAGTAGTTTTTCCACGAGTTGCTTCTCGCCTTTCATCTGCAGGAAGTTATAAGTCCAATTAGTTAGAATAACATCCTAGTAAGTAGTAACGAACAGAGGCATACTCACAAATTCAGTAACAAGAACATCAGGTGTGTACTCCCCTATCACGTCACCTTGGTCTTCATCATCTAGAATGTTATTATTTACCTGTATCACATACAAATGCAATTTTATGTTTTTGGTGACAGCTGGGGATCTGGTACACTAAAACATGGACACCTGGTTAACAACATTATTAGAGCACATTTGGATCGAGAAATGATTAAAAAAACTACTTTACCGTGCATCTTTGCATCTCCAAATTTAAGATAAACTGGTGCTTCCACATGGCAATAGCCCATAAGACGTGGTACTGTTGGAATGATATCTTTGTGGTTGACAATTCTCCAGCTGTCCTTTACTTTCTGGAAATAGTCCAAAAAAGATATAAAAATTGTGGTTGCTTCATATTTTTTAGTTCATAGATCCTTGCAGTAAAATTACGATAGAAGGTATGGGGATTACAACTTAACTCATAATGATATCATTATTATTACACTGATTCTAATAGATAGGCTTCACCTATGGAAAAACCAGTAACATACACAAAAAGTTATTCCTGTTGTATGACTACATGTGACTCTTGAATTTGATTTGAGAATTGGCCTTCCGCAAGTTCATCCCTGCTCTCTCTACAATATTCATCTTTTGAATGCATTGTACCAAAAAAAAACTATTTCATTAATGTCTTCCATGGAGAATTGTAACTTGCCTATATCAAGTCACCATATAGTAGGGATCTCCTCTCTGATAAGATGCTATTTATGTGAGCATGGGTGTACACATAGCTTAGCTAGGAGTGTAACACCACTATACTGCAGAAGAATGACAAAATGTCTGCTATCTGGTTTTCCAAATGCAAACGAAAGGTTGGATTATTCATGCTTCCATTCTTTCCTTTTATTTATATATATTTTTTTATTTGAAAGAAAGTGGCAAGACCGCTGCCTTTAAATTAAGATACAAAAGAGAGTGCGTGCAAAATACAAGCCCCAGCCATGCGGCCCTGCTATACAAAGGGTTGGCAGCATTTTGTATGTCTTTTGCAACAATACTTCTATGCAGCTGCCCAGACACTTATTTGAAATAAAACCGAAAAGGTACTAGATATACATATTTCATATGAACTTCCCCAACATTCCTTAGCCAACATATCAAGGACAGAAAGCAGATTGAACAAAAAGATTAAGTAGTTCAATATTCACATTCATTTCCACACTCCAAACTAAAATGACTGATATTTATTAAATGACCCTTCTGCCATGCCAGAAATTATTGTGAAGAACATAATGGTTTTTTTTTTCTGGAATACGCAGGAGGGCTGCGTATCATTGCATTAAGATAGGGAAAAGGGAGGCTCAAATAGCCAATACAAAACTCACACAACACCACACACACCTTGGGATTTTTTACTGTTACACGTGCCTGTTCAAAACAAAGAGACGACCAAAACATAATGGTTTCATCAGGTATAAAATAACATAATAATTCTCAGTTGTATTTTATCAAGTGCCCCAGTTCTAAATCAATCCATCCAAGTAGAAAATTAGCGTCTACAGAGTTAGTAAATAGTCTTCAAATTACCGAATTGTATACTTCAGCGAATCTTCTATTTCCCACTCTAGGAGAGCCAAAATTGTACATTGTCACAAATATGACACCATTCCTATAAAAGATGACAAGACAAATATGAAAATAAAAAATATAGAAAATCATGTACGAACATAGTTGAAAACCATTATAGAAATCGTCAACAGCTGCCAACTGCAGAAGTGTTAAAGATACATAAACTATTGGTGAGCTATTTTGACAGTTCTATAACAGCATAACAGAATGATATACAAATAGGAAGCTCAACATTAATATCTTCTTTAAAATTTATGAAGCTCCAGTGCACCAGTACTTTTATTAGAATAACAGGCATCCTGACAAGTTCTTCTTCATTACTAAGGCAAACACTCTGTAGTGTAGGGGCAGAGCAGTTAATAAGTTGTCTCTTGTGTTCTTTCCAGGCAGGTTTGGGCGGTCATCTTCTGGAGGCTGGGTCTAATTGCTCGAGCACCTCGACCTTCTGTCTCTCGGTTCTCTAGTTGGTGGTGCAATGTCATCAAGGGCCTACCTAAAGATTTGACAAAAGGACTCAACACGTTGATCATTCTGGTAGCCTGGGAACTTTGGATACATAGGAACTCTTATTTGAAGGAGCTAGCCCCTGTTTTCAGGCAGTGCCGCACAAAGTGGGAGAGGAGTGTGTCCTTTGGTGCTCTGCCGGAGCCTCGGCTCTCAGCAAACTCCTATCTAGGTTGTTCACCCCAGGCCTTCTGTCCTGAGGAGATGCTTTGGTCGAGGTCGTTTCTTGTTTCAGTCTTGTAATAGGTGCTAATGTAATGTAAGGGGTTGTGTTTTGGAGAGGCCTCTTGATCTCTACTTGTACTATATTTCTTCTTAATGAAATGACACGCAGCTCTCTTGCATTGTTCGAAAAAGAGCAATTTTTTTTGTGAGACCCAGTTACAGACGCAGAGGCGCTCACATATATGAGCGCACACTCACCCCTATGAGCAATTAATAAGGAGTCATCCAAGTTAATCTGATCTTGTTTGGGACTTTGGGTTTCCTACGTGTTAAATGTTTGACTTTTACATGTTTCCACAAATCCTGAATCAAATGATGTCATATGGTATCTGAAATGAGAAGATCACAGATTTAGATCAAGTGAAGGTTCAAACTTACTTGGACATTTGACTTGATGAAAGTTCAAGAGCAAGAAGGGTTGCTAGTGCTCCACCTAAACTGTGTCCAGTCACATAAACATGCCAACTAGGTATGGTTTCTGCATCTTCTTCATCCCTGCAGTGGAATAATTAGATGCTTTGTGAATAAAGTTTGAGATAGTTACTTGGTGAAGCTATATATACAATAAACACAAAAATCAAAATTTAAATCCAAATATTGTTCTTTTCAGCAATAGTTTTCTGAGATATATAGTCAAAATTCCATGTGGACAGCAATGAGAACATGCTATGGAACGTTGAAAGTTTCCTGCTTCATATTGAACTTATTTGTGGAAAGAAAGTCACCTATTTCACTGCAAAATACTTACTGGAATCCAACGGCATATTTGATGAGAGTCATGATCCTGTTCCTAACAGAGTCATATGCACCTAAGAATCCACTGTGAACCTAAAACATGGTGTGACAACATGTCAGGTAGCAGAATATGAGAACAGACACATAAAAGAGTGTAGACAACTAACTTGAACTTCTTGTTTGAAGTCACCACCCAGCCTCTCAGGGTTTAGTCTGTAATCAGGTTCAAGACATGGTGTGCCAAAGGAACATGAAATAACAAAAAAGAAAATTACGACTACAATAGCTACAATTTCTTTCTTCAATCTTACCCAGCAGGTACAAGCATTAAGTCAGTTCGCAAATCCTTCCACCTTGACTAGGTTGACATGTAGAAACCAATGCAAAGCGAAGTGAATAAGGTCGAATATGTGCCAAATTATAAAGTGAATTTGCCATTAATAGAACGTAAGATTTTCATGTTAATGCATACTTGTTCAGTTCCTCGAAAGGCAACAACCAACCTTCTTCGAGAAGAATCACGCCATATGGCAACCTACATGTTAATATAATCTATCAAAACAAAGGAGACAGGAAACTCATTGATATCGGCATATCGCAACAAAACTCACTTGTGTGTCTGTTGAAACATTGTCAAGAAAACATATCTTTTCAAAGTCCGATTTGATGAAACTGTTACGTCCCAGTGAAGTGGCAAGCATAGCCCATGCCTCCATGGCAGTCTCTGCACTTGCAAACAGGCTCCGCATATCCTCTGCTTTCTGTGCATCAATGGACAGTATGGTAGATGCGACAGCATCATCCTTTTGAACAGAATCTGCAGCTGAAGCACCTTGCTGCTCTCTAATCATATCATCTTTGCCATTTGTTTCAGTTGTCGTTACTGACTGATCATGTGGTGAGAAGTTTTTAGAAAGTATCATCAGAGCTCCGAGTATATTTTCTGTTTGAGACAATACATCCCGAGATACTTTATTTATGTCTGGAAAGGAAGATTGCACCTCCTCTTTGGTTGTCAATGTTCCATTTTCATTCTCAACACCAACTGTGTTTTCAGGAGTTGTTTCACTGCCATCACTTGTTGAAGTATCTGCCATTGCAAGTCCAGATTCTAAATATTCCCGTTCAGCAATTTCGCGTGATTTCAGACCAAGTGAACTTAATAGGTCAAATCCATCCAATTGCTTGACCTCGGGAAGAGAAAATCCAAAGTTCTGTAGTACATTTTGGTTGAGTACATTGTTCAGAGCTCTCCAAAAGTATTCATCCGATTCCTTCATATCGGATGATGCATCTCCTTCACTGTTAACAGTTGCAGCAGGAGATCGAGCTTCACTATGAGAATGAGAATCTGAAATGTCTTCAGAATCAATATTCTGCTGTTGAAGCTCATTTGAATTAGTTGGGCCATCTGAGGATTCTTCATCATTTTAGAAACCTCAGCTCCACTTTCCAATGATGATGGCTTTGGAAGGTAGGTGTAAGTGAAAGAATTTAGTTGCCCAAATGCAGACTTCACAAACTGACTTGCATTTATACTTTCAGATCCAAGAACCATTCTAAGAGCAGATCCCAGGCTGCTCTTCACAAAAAAGTCGGACACAAAAGGTATTCTCCACCATTGTTTTTCACGCTCGATATCATCATAACTCTTGTATTTGACCTGGCATGTTATACTTAAAACTTAGTTCACTAATTAGAATGGAACAATTACAAGCCTTGGACATAGTGGAACAACTAAAATATCACTATCGGAGAATCATGCAGCTAGAGTATTCATATACCTCTATACTTGTTTGTGCAACAAGAAAAAATGCAGTGCACAGTAAATACAGCCTATGCTTTACCAATGTGGCTTTAATACTAGATATTCTTATATGTGAGTCAAATTACCACTGTACTCATGGCTAGTTAAAAGACCGGTCTGCTAGTTCATGTCCAAAAGGGTTCCTAATATGAAAATTATTCTACTGCTATTGCTTCTATAAGAATCTATGGAAGTAAGGATTTTGCTGATTTCACTCACCTGAAAGGCAAGGATCTGTTAGAGGATGCACCTTCGCATTCGATGATCAGGAAAATAAAATGTTAAGGATCGTACCTCTATCTCAATAGTTCCACCACCACCAAGGCCTTCTAATTCAACAGTAACACCATGATTGTTACCTACAAAGAGCAATGGCGCTATAAGCTTTTGCCAAGAACAAGATACAAATGCATCCATGTCAGATTCAAGGGGAAGATATTGCTTGATTGCTCTGTAATCAACTTTTCACGTGAATATTAAATGAAAAATGAAGCATGACACAAGAAAAAGACCAATGAACATATGTTTTCCGAAAGGGCAGCAAAAGTTTTGCCGCAAGTTTTATTAGGAGGAGAAAAAATAAAAACAATTGCAGGCCCAGTTTTTTTTAGTGGAAACCAGGCCCAAAACCCACACGACTAAGTACAAAACCATCATACATATTGCATTTTCAGTTTGGCCAAAATGCCATAACTGATAGCAGATTTACCAGTTTAAAAAATAGCCTCAGTTGTTTTTTCATATATATTGATCTTTTCATACAACTATCACTAAGTAGTGATGAACTGATAAAAATGGTTTAGCTTATTACTGGTTGCAGATATCAATAGATAGTATTAGCTGTTAGCGTAATACATGTGAAGGTTACTTGAAGCAAAACTTGGTAGAGCATCTTCCGATACAACGTTGAGTGGGACGAATAAACTTGGAGAGCAATTTCAACAGCATAGTGCTTTATATCAGTGAGATTACATGCAGCTACAGTGGGGGTCTCCCCTGCTGTATTTTCGGGTCAAAAAGAGATTACATGCAGCTTAGAAACATGTGATTATGGAGTTTCAGTGTTTTACTATAAGTAAGAAAACAACAGTGGCTGTCAGATAGTATAAAAAAAAAGCCCAATGCAAGTGGTGAGTGTGAGTTGCATCATTGAGATTCTCAAACTGGTGGAATTGGCAAGTTAGTCTAAATTGGGACTGAATCAAGCTTATCACAGGCCAATATTAAAAAAAAAAAAACTCAGATGGTGAGGAAAGACTGTCCCATGGTACTGCACTAAGAAGAAGCTCTTAGTCAAACTGATCGAGAAAACGACTGAACCACGGCTTCACCTTATAAGGTCGTACAGTAAGCTGGGCCGACCATAACCTTCTGGGCTGGTGATCACTGCAACTACCCCTTGATAGGATGGACCAAACCAATTATAGAAACTACAGGCCAGTGCCCTACCATTATTTTTTGGGTTGCCAACAAGGGGATTTTTTATTTTTTTTTGGCACCAGGATTTGAACCCTGGCCGGTGTCTCCCTCAACTGGGGAGCTTACCACTACACTATAAGAATGTTCACCACAAACTTCTTGATAAGAACATTATATCCTGTTTCAACATGATTTTGACCATGACTCTGTACAGATCAGCACTGAGAATAAGGAAACCAGCACCCATGACACCGATCAGGAACAGGTTCTGAAAACCTGGTTATAACAAAAGGAACACCATGAGAGATTATTGTGATTTCTTTATTAATATAGAGAATTACCATCACAAAGTGATTCAAGGTATAATCCAGCATTTCCCATGCGTTTGTGTGGGGTAACAAGGTTTGCATCCCAAGCTGCAACCTATTGAGCAACATGGCAGCAGATGCCAAAAGGCACAGAAATCATTCATAGTAGAACCAAGATATAACAAAGTAGACGATTAAAACCAAAATTAAAAGATGCACACAATCTTATGTTTGATTACTATCACTTACTATTTCTTATCTATTACCCTCAAAAACTATTTATTATCTATTTCTTTCAATTATATACATATAAATATAAATATAAATAATCTTGACCATGTACTCTGCCATCCTGAAAGCTACAGACATGCATTTATGTTTGTTAAAATGGTAAATACTGCCGGTTCAGTTTAAGCTTCACTGGAGTTGATCCACCCAACTTCCAAAACAATTTTATAACACCTGGAGCGAGTCCAATATCACTACATGCCCTAGGTACTTATAGCATGCAGCAGTTTCTTTGCCAAGACAGAGGAAGATTAATGGGCCTTCCCTTAAATGAAAAAAAGAAAGTGTTTAACAAGACAGACAATGTAGAATAACCAGAACTTTCCTTAAACAAAAAAAGGGGCTAGAATAGGGGACCATGAAATTATAACATTCATACCTGAAGAAGATTTTCTCGAGATTTTTTAATGTTAAATGTGAAATCCTCATTCCATGTTGGCTCCTTTGTCCTACAGTGAACAATTAATGAAATCACACTTCGAATCAACAATGCAAAGGACTAGAAATATTCAAGCTTTCTCAAGAAAATTGTCCACTAGTTGACACAGTATCCCGAATGAAATAAAGCGCTATGTATATACTGCATACATCATTTTAATTTCATATAGAAAGGAACTTCTTATTTATAATAGCACTCCCAGCCCCAGCATACACAAAAAGGAATAAGTAACTCACGCCCATTTAATTTGGCTTTTTGCAGTTTGTCCATTCAGTTGTAAAATTACATAAGGATCACTTGTACCCTGAAAACAAAAGAATTAGCTAAGGGAATTGTTAAAGAGTAGAAAAGCAGGACTTTGATTAATAACTGCAAACATAAAAACGTTGTACTGACCCACTAGAGAATGAGGCTTAATACAAATAATGACTATTCAGCAGCATACACAATTACGCATCATCGTACCCATGGATCCATTGCAGGAAGGTTTATGCCTTTCTTCAGCCTGACGACTAGCTGTCCATCGTATACTTCACGGAGAAAAACACTGCAATAGTTGTGGCATCGATGCATCATTCACAACATTTACAGTAACGGCTTAGCAATTAGCACCATAGCAACAACAAATGGTCCAAGCTCTGTAAGGAAGGGTAGGCCTAGGACTTACTCGGACAGGAACACTGTCTGACAGTCAGCCGCATCAGTTTCGCGCCAGCCCACATCTGCCTGTCAAATACGACGACCAATCGTGCCACGTAAGCTAATCCACTAATCCATGGAGGTTGCCTCCACCACCAGCTTGGACTAAACCAGTTCAATGATGGGGACGAGTAGCTCATGACGGGAGCAAGGTGCTCACCGGCGGACTGGTGTAGGCTTCAAACGCGAACCCGGCGAGCACGACGGCGAGGTTGATGTCGAACGGCGGCCGCCGCGGCCCGTCCTCCTCCGCCACCAATCCCTCCCCAGAGCTCTCGGAATCTGGCTGCACGGCTGACGGCTGGCTGCCGTCGCAGCTTATGCGGCACCTTGCCCGCAGCCCCGCCCACCGCCTCCGTCCCCCCCTCCTCGCGACCCAGCACCGCCACACCACCGCAGCCCTGCAGCCCGGCAGCGAGTGCGCGGGAAGAACCGAGGTCGTTGCGCGCGCCGGCGCGACGCGGCATGCGACTGCGGGAGCACTGGTCGAGGCCATGAGGACTCGGCGATTGCCGTCGTGTTGCCTGTGTTCACTTCGCCTTCGCTTCGGTCGTGAAAAAAAAAGGGAAGAAGCGAGGAAGCAATTCTAGTCTTCTAGTGAGAGAAGCGCTAGTCTGTTCGAGTGGTGGGGAAGAGAGAAGGCGCGCGACGATTGCGCTGGCCTGCTCGAGGACTCGGTGTCTGCTTGAGGGCCCCACTGTGCTGTCAATTGGGCCCAGTTAGCACTGGGCGATCGTGTCATTTCGCTAGTTGTCTATGCTAATCAGAATGGTAGTGCTCACGGCAATTGTCTGTGTTTGTCAGCAGTATAGGATCGCAATTCTGACAACCTCGATTTTTCGCTCGTCCTATATATATGTTAAAAAAATCTGAGAATTTAACACCTCTGGGCCAAAATTCATCGAATAGACGAATAATACGTCAGATGTCCAGAACGATGTGTTCTTCGCAACCGGCACCAAAATCTCGTCAACTGCAGCAGCTATACAATTCTAGACCGAGACAAGAAACGCGAGGCATGCCTGCCGCGGCAATCTGCTGCGGACGGTCGCCGGGCCGGCGGCTAGCCGGCTACATCAAGTAACCTTCGACGCTGCCGTCGTCCGAGGGGCGACCGTGCTCGCTCATGCTCCCCCTCAGCCTGTAGAAGCTGTGCCTCCCCTTGGTGCGCAGGGGGCCGGACCAGTCGTACATCGCCAAGGACTCGATCTTGTCCAGCACCGCGTTCGACGCCGACCGTGGCCTCCGCTCGTCGGCGCCGGCAGGGTCCGAGCCGTATCCCAGGGGGAGCGCAGGGCCCGGGGTGGCCGGTGGGTCGTCGTTCCACGAGCTCCTGCTGACGTCGTTCCACGGGGACTCCTCGGTCGCGCCACCCGCGAACGAGCCGCTGTAGGCCTCGTCACCGCCCCCCGCCAAGTACAGCTTATAAGCTGCTTATGGCCAAAAATAAGCTAAAATCAACAGTCAAAGACTACGCTTTTCAGCAGCTTATTCTGACCAGCTGGATCAGACCAGCTTATTTAGACCACCGCTTTTACTCTATTTGTGCTGGGAAGCGCCAATCAGGGTCACTGTGGATCAGCTTCAGCGCCTGCACGACCTCGCCCATGAACGGCCGGTGCGACGCCTCAACGTGCACGCACATGGACGCGATGGCCGCCGCCTTGGCCAGCTTCTCGAAGTCGTAACCGGCCGGGAGCGACGGGTCCACCAGCCGCTGCAGTCCTTCCCGGGTGGAGAGGAGCGGGCGCGCCCAGGTGACCAGGTTCTCGGACCCCGGTGGCTGTGTCATGTCCACGGGTTTTCGGCCTGACAGCAGCTCGAGGAGCACCACACCGTAGCTGTAGACGTCGCTCTTGACAAGCAGATGCCCTGTCATCGCATACTCTGGGGCAACGTACCTGCAGAGCATGGAGAAAAATGAATCAAATTATCCATAATATAGCACTACATTAATTGTTTAAATTGTTCAAGCAATCTATATCAAGAGTAATTACGCTCGCCATCATCAAAAGGGCATACAAGAGTTGTATGATGGCACTTGTTGATTAACACTAGTAGAGGTCTTACCCGAAAGTCCCCATGACCTGAGTAGAAATATGATCCATCCCGTCTGATGCTTCCTTTGCCAGCCCAAAATCAGCAACCTTGGGTGTGAAATCGTTTTCCAATAGAACATTGCTAGCCTTAAAATCCCGGTGAATGACATGAGGGTTGGCATCCTCATGCAGATAGGCTAGTCCCCTTGCTGCGCCGAGGGCTATTTTCATTCTAGTGTCAAAATCAATCGAGCCATATATTTTATCTGAACCTGGAATATCAAAATAGAAGTGCAGGAATAAGTGATTATTACATGCCTACAAAAAACAGTTATGTTCAAGTTTCTTAAATTGTGTAAGTACTGTTAAGATGCTATGAAAATTAGCATGCTCAAATACCATGTAGATGAGATTCAACACTTCCGTTTGGAACAAGCTCAAATACCAAGCACCTCGTGCTCCGTTCAATGCATATACCAATCAGCTTGACAAGATTGCGGTGATGTAAACGACTTAGCATCTCAACCTCTGCAATGAACTCGCGATCTCTGTTGTGATGTTTCCTTGTGAGCAATTTGACAGCAACCTCAACACCATCTTCAATTACACAGCGATAAACACGTCCATAACCCCCTTCACCTATTATTTTGCTGAAGCTGAAGTTTTCTGTGGCCTTCTCAAGCTCAGTTATTGTAAATGTCTTTACGGTGGATGGGCAGGTTCCTATTGTTGAAGCAAATGATGCTGCCGAGCTGCTTGTACCAGAGAACGATAACCTCATAGCTGAAACGGAAAAATAAATTCTATTACAAAAATTAAGGGGAGATTATATTCCATTAGGGTGTTCTATGCTTCTTTATGCATTGTTGTTCATGAATTAAATCAAGATCATAAGTAGTGCCCTTAGTGTTCAAGTCAGTGCTCTGTGCCTGCTGGTCTTTTGATGTGTAATTTTTTTTTAGATAATGGATAAACATCCGGCTTCATCTACACAGGGTAGAATCATACCACTTATTACAAACTACTTGATGTGTAAATAGTAACAAGATCATTGTATATCACGACATACTTCGATACATGACAAACCAAAGTATTGATAGTGCCTCCATTGGACCAGATAGAGGAACAGAAATGAAGCAACAAGAAATTTAAAAACCAAAGTCAAGAACCATCAAGGACCAGGTGAGTTCCTGGCAACGGGAGGCAGGAACACAGGAGTGTGCATCACCTGACTCATATTCTAATTCAGGGTACAGGAGTAGAAAGTACCCCTGTCTAACAAGGTCAAGGGATACCATATAATTGCATCTTAATCAATCCAAATGCAAATGACTATAATGCAATATACCAGAAGTATAGTATAATGTGCCAATTGTCACGAAAATTACCTCCTTTTCTAGTGATGGAAGAACTTGAAATCGGGCCCGTAGCATGAGAATGTTTTAGTCCATTGAATCTCCAAACGATGCCAATGGCCAAGCACGTCAAAACAAAAACCACAGCTGACAGAGCAATTATGGCAACCATTTTAGAGTTAATCTTGTGATGGCTTCTATTGTGTATATTTGCACTAAAAGGGTCCTCGTTACTGCTTACTGGACCCAAGGATCCAGGAATAGGTACTAAAGAAGGAAGGCCTGCGATATGTGTATGGTTAGATAGAGAAAAGAACAAGGATTAGATAAACAAAACAACAAAAATCACTACAGAAGGCTAGTGAAGTGAATACATCAACATCTATTCACCTGGATAATGAACATATGTAGCAACATAGTCACCAAAAACGGATGAGTTTATTGGAACCTTCTTTTGCAAAAATCTATTGCTAATCAGTAAGGCTGAAGTCCTATCAAATTTCTGGCCTAATGGCACCAAATTGATGGTTACTGTTGTTTTTTCAGGATCTTGAAGACTACTCCCAGCACCCATTATCCGAACTTGACTCTGTTTCAGGAATGTACCTGCTGCAACCTCAATTTCTAACTCATCAATTCTGGGAAATAATTGATACGGTGCCACGCCAAGATCAAGCTGAATTTGCATAGGATATACACAACCACAGGGTGAACCAATTGGAGTCGACGTAAGTGGAGCAGAACAAGTTGTTCTGCTGCAATCTGTCAAAATTCAGGCATGAAAAGGTCTTAGTATTGTTGATTTCTTCATACTAACAATAAGATTTGTCATTTCTATTGGACAGTTGAGAAAGTAAACAAACCTTGTCTTTCTGGCGAAAACGATGAAGGTGGTGGGGAAGCATGATGCCTTCTTCTGTGATGCCTATGCACTGGGTGAGCAATAATGGGGCCTGAGTATCAAAAGGAACAATGATTTGTATGAAGAATGCTAAATAGAACAAATAGCTAAAGTGGAAAGGTACACATTGAAAAATGTATTTTCGGTCATGGTGAGAAACTGAGAATTATATCTGCTTGCTACACCTATACTATTCATGTGTACAAATCTCAAGGGTTTTTGTACTTACCTTGAGGTTGAGGAGAAGGGGCTGGGCCAGGGGCTAGGGCAGGAAAGCGATGCTGATGGGTTCTACTCCAGAATCCGAATAAGTATGATGCAAGACATGTAGTTGTAGAGCTTGATGTTCCGAGTTGCACTGCTTTGGATATTCAAACAAGAAACAATGCATACAAGCATCAGAACTCAGAAATAAAGAGCGAGCGCTACATTGACGAAAATGTCTTTAATGCACTGAATATTGTTGGGTTTCGTTCTCTGCATTTGGAACTGTACAGTCTGTATCCAGTCAGGCAACGCAGAGTTTGATGACAATTGACAGCTCTAGCAAGAAAAAGACAGCACAAAATGAGGAGCCCAAAACCCTCACCAAGCACTTGAACGAACTGCCAAGGCCTCGTTTAGATTGCAAATTTTTGCAACCTGGACACTGTACGTTTCCTTTGTATTTGACAAACTTTGTCCGATCATGGACTAACTAGGCTTAAAATCCGTCTCGTGATTTACAAATAGTTATTTTTTTACCTACATTTAATGCTCCATGCATGCGTCTAAAAATTGATGTGATGGAGAGAAAGTGAAAAAACTTGGAATTTGGAGATGATCTAAACAAGGCCCAAAGCCTAAAAATTTCGAGCTCGATATGAGACAGAAAATGCTACCATCATGGCATCATAGCTCCTGTCGTATCTACCGCACGCTGTTTTAACAACCCAGCAACTCCTACTCGGCCACTCAGGCACGCGGAAAAGCATGCCAGGGATCACCGCGCGCCAAAGCCGAAAAAAATCGAAGTGCAGATTTTTCAGAAGGAATTCCAACTTCCACATGCCAAAGCCTGAGGCATGATTCAGATGCGCTCGGACGAATCACGAGAGCAACAGCTCCATGGAGGAAAAGGCGAAACCTCAGACCATCTTCTGCCCCCACACACGACCAGTGGAACTTGCCACGCACGCCATGCCCGCCGCTCCTCCTCGGCGATCCCACCGCAAGAACGCAATCCGCGCTAGAATTCTCCCCGGCATTGCAACCCGAATGCGAGAAAACGCGAAGCACGGGGAGGAAACGAGGAAAAATCTCAAGGACGCACCGCAGAGCACGAGGAGGAGTAGCGCCGCTTCCCGCGGCGGCATCTCGGGACGTCGCGGCCGCCGGCGTCGCTGGTGGGAGGGCCCGGCTCAACCGCTCAAGGCGCCGCCGCCATGTGGACCCCTGGCGGGGGATCCAAGTCCGCCTCCTTCCTTGCGCTCTGCTTCCCGCTGCGCTGCTGCTCTTTCTTTCTTTCTTTCTTTTTTCCCTTCTCCAGACTGCAGAGTCCTTTTTGGTTCTTCGCATTGAAGTGAGGCGCTGGTCCCGAAGGAGCATTAATTGGCGGGTGGGGGATACACCGAGACGAGCGAGGAGGCCTCTGAAGGTTTTCGTTTTCCTTCCAAGCGTGTCTTGTTTTTTTAATATTTTTTTCTGCCCAGGGTGCAGACCGGTCAGTGGTTTCTTCTATTCTCTCAAGCTTCTGAACTCTTTTGGTACTTTTTTATGTTTTGAAACATTGTTTGTCCTACTTTTGGAATTATCTTATGTGATTTACTAGTACGCTCTTCGCCGGAAAATCGAATTCTAGGTAAATTTGTTAGGTTTTGAATCATATTCTCATAAACCTCTGTCTTTTTAGTGAAAAAAGGTAAAGCCCGTATCATAAATAAACAGATTACATTTACTAGAATCCAAGTACTGACTAGGCAACAAATGCCTTCTATGTTCCAAGTCTGCCATTTTTTCCAGAAACAATATGACAATTCCAAATATAGTGTTATATTACTATATAGATATTCTAATTTAGTAGTACTACTCCGTTCCGAAAAAGAAAATTTGCTGTTATATGTTTCAACTAAATCAAACTTTTATAAGTTTGACTAAATTTATAAAAAATAGTATCCATAATTATATCTCCAAATAGATTTACAAATGTTTTTATTTTTTTATGTAGTAAATTTTAGTTAAATTTAAAACTAGTTGATTTCCATGATTAATCCAACGGGAGGGAGTAGTCTACCTGTCTACTATAGCTTAGGTCATGGCGTTGCTTGAGCTAGTGTGGGCCTAGAGCAAACCAACAATTTTCACGGGAGGCTAGCTGCCCGTGCGGCCGTGCGGGACTGGCCTGGCCTTTGATGCCAGCCAGCCAACGCCGCGCTAGACTTGAGAATAGTGAACTTAAAGGAGGAGCATAAAGGCCTAGGCCCACCTCATCCAGTCCAAGTCCGCATAAGGTCTGGTTAGGGTGTAAGATTTTGGATATCACATTAAATGTTACGTGGGGATATCACATGAGGTATTTGGATACTAATAAAAAATAAATTACAGAATCCATCAGTAAACCACGAGACGAATTTATTAAGACTAATTAATCCATCATTAGCACATGTGTGTACTGTAGCACTTTATTGTCAAATCATGGACTAATTAGGCTTAAAAGATTTACCTCGTAAAGTAGTCGTAATCTGTGCAATTAGTTATTTTTTAGTCTATATTTAATACTCTATACATATGTCCAAACATTCGATGGAATATGATGTAAACTTTTGAAGAGGAACTAAACAAGGCCTAAGAACATAGAGCTCACGAACTTTTAGTTGCACCAAAATGTAAGTAATAACAATGCCTGGCGTCGAAAAGAAAGCATAAGATACGCGTGTTCATGATAGTTTTTTTTTGTCATTTAGGAAGACAACATAGTGGTACATCATTGCAAAAGAGTTTGTCTTCGACCTTGTGATAGGGTGCGTTCGGCTGGTCTGAAAATTTCAGACCAGCTGGCTGCTCCGGCTGCTTCTCTTCACAGGCTACAGTACAACTTTCAGCCGCTATAGTATTTCTCTCTCACATAATCAGTCGCTACAGTGTTTTGATTTCTTTTTTCAGACAAGTGAACAGGGCCATAATTTTTTTAGAAAGACGGTAAAAGCTTTCCCGTATTTTTATTAGATGAATAAAAAAATAAAACACATTATTTACAGACAACTAGGAGCAGTATGAAAACTCCCAACTACTGAAGACGAGAGAAAAAACCAAACTACTACGGCGCACATGCCGCCAAACTAAGCCATGAAAACGATTTAAGCAAGTAAACAGAAGAGAGCTCCAACTCTTTAAGAACCGAAAACCAAGCAAAAGAAAACTACTCTCCACCACCAACGATGGGTCTTGTTGCCGACTGGAATTGTTGGATGACTTTGTGATATACTCCCTCCATTCCAAATTGTAAGTCATTCCAAGAATCTTGGAGAGTCAAACTTTTTCAAGTTTGACTAAAATTATAGAGAGAAACACAAAGATTGATGACATCAAATAGGTATAATATGAAAATATAACTAATGAAGAATCTAATGATACTTACTTGATATGATAAATATTATTATTTTGTTATATAAATTTGGTCAAACTTGAAAAACTTTGACTCTCCAAGATTTTTGGAATGACTTACAATTTGGGATGGAGGGAGTACTTGCACTCAAAGAACTTGCTCCCTCTCGTTGGCATAGGTATAGAGCCTAATGACCCAACAAAATCGTGATGATCACCATGTCCAAGAACACGGTGGACCTGCATGCTTGGAGGTGAGAATCCCCAATTGCTGTACGGTACGACCACCATGCTGTCGTCCGTGCATGCAAGTGGTAGATTGCGACAGCAGTATGCATGCTGGCTAACACATTGATGCATACTCCTATGGTCCAGAAGCCTACATACATGAAGAATTGAAGATCGTATTCGTATGCTTCTCCCGTCGTCGTCGTCGCCGCTCCTGAAATGAAAGAAAGAAACCGTAAAAAACTCGAATATAATGTATCCTGGTGGGACGTCGATGGCCCGGCCGGTTAGTTAGCTAGCTAGCCAATGCAAGTCAACCTTACAAGACAGGCTTCCATGTCTGCTCCTTTTTTTGCTTGCTTGTTTGGTTCTATACGCCGCCGTCGGTAGAATAAACTAAACGCGAGTGGGGTGGGGTACGACTGCCGTGTGCACTGGTGACTGGTCAGGAGTTACATGATATATTCTTGGCTTGCGCCGGTGACAAAACTCGATGGCGCCTATGGAGTCGTCGGGTCGGGCGGTTGTGAGACGGGGAAAAAGGGTACGCGGTTTGCGCAGTAGTGCTCTGCTCTACCACCATGCATGTTGCCGATGGGTGCGATCGATCTGAGTTGACGCGTTTCACGTGCGATTGTTTAGTCCCGGCCCGTTCGGGACGCAACAGTCCTCACACCATAGCGTAAATTCCATTGCACTCATCTGTCATCTCAGAAGGAAAATCCCATTGCACTCCTGGAAAACACGCTTCCAAAGGGCAAAGGGGTGACATGATGCAATGAGAGAAACTTGTGAACAAAGACGAACCAACACCTAACTTCTTCATTTTGACGATGATTTCCCTAGCTAGTCTTGTTAGGGAGCTCACTCTCTGCTGTTTCTTAGCTCCGGTTCCTTAATTCAATGATAGACTGATTGATTATGGTGGAGGTTGCAGGGTGAAAATGATTTTGAAGTAATTCTGGTAGAGTGTGGGTTTTTTAGCTCGTTGTGTAAATAGAAAAGTTTTTTTGTGTTAGATTTCACCAAAATTTGTGAATTCTTCTAAGCCCGTGTTTAGTTGCAAAAAAACTTCCTAAAAAGTGCTACAGTACCTATCACATCGAATCTTGCGATACGTGCATGGAGTATTAAATGTAGACGAAAAAAAAACTAATTGCACAGTTTGGTTGGAAATCGCGAGACGAACGTTTTGAGCCTAATTAGTCCATGATTGAACACTAATTGTCAAATAAAAATGAAAGTGCTACAGTAGCCAAATTCTAACTTTTCCTCCAACTAAACACGCCCTAAGAAGCACCGCCAAATTGCCCCTCAGGATCAGGATCAGCCCATTAGGAACCTGAGCTCTGAAACTTTTGTTATGCACGTACATACTGCTCCATGAAAAACTACTCCCTCCCAGTCAGTTAGCAGCCATCGGCCGGCTGGGTCCAATGCATCGGTCTTTTTTCGGAAATCATAAACACTATCGCCAAGGTGGATGAAACATTTTGGCATTATAGGCATTAACCAACCCCCGAGAGTACTTCATCCGCAACCACAGTTATAAAAAAAATTATAAAAAAAACCGCGACCACCGAACCCGTCACGGCACGGTAGGTCTTCACTTTTTGATAACCTGCTTGATTAGGCCGTTGCCGTCGAGATGCATGCTTATGATGGTCTTAGGCAGTAACGCGATGTCATATGTGTGAGGCATTTATGCTCCTACCATTGTGCAACTTACCACAACAAATATCAACCGTTAAGAAGACATAACTCTCGTATGGAGGACTAGCTAGTGATATGTCTTTTTTGAGCATTAGGGCACCCACAATGTGATACCAACTTGGGAGTATATCTATCACTAGTCTCTCATCATACTATCACACGGAAGACATAACTCATAAGCATTGCAGGAACGAGCCATAGCTCGGACAGTCGGACGGCAAAGTGCTCTGGTGGAGGAGCGGCGGGTCGTGAGTTCGAGGCTCGCTCGTCTCACCTCTCCCACGCACGAATGGACTACAGCTGCAATATCTCTCAACCGTGTTCTAGTACATCTAGATATAGGTAGATATTACAACTTGTATTCAAACATTGAGGCAACAAAAAAATATAAGCAATACTCTTTTCATTTCAAAATAAATGCATTCGTACTTATGTACCGAGATAACCAAGTATCTAGGTCATACCTAAAAATGTGCTTATTTTATGATAGTAGGAGTAGATAGTATTTGTACACAAAAATTTTCGTTTATGTGCCGAGGACACACGTAGCAAGCCGAAAGGATCCGCTCGATGAAGCAGATCCGTCTAGCTTCAGCGCAAGGGTGGTAGATTCTGCGTAATCCTTCCAAGACGTGCCAGTCAATTTGACCCTGCAATTGACAAAGAGAGAAAGCTTATCAGTAATTAAGGGCGGAACGTGCCGGTGTTGCCAGACAGTCTCGAATATGCGGCTCTGAGAGCCGATTTGAGAGGAAATCGATTAAATAGTCAATTCCAGCATATTCATAAGAATAAATCGGTTAAAACTCATGGTTGTGTAAGAAGAATTGGT